CTGCTTTCTCAGACTGACGTCGGGTGCTTCTCTCGGGACCCTTGCACCCTCCCCTGTGGAGTCGGCCCCAGACTCACAACCGGCTGAGGAGCGGCAGGCTGGCCGCGGAAGGGATGGGCATGAAGCCTTTTCCAGCTGAAGGAGATTTACAGGCGTGAGAACCTTGAGGGGTAAGCCCCACCTGTGTCTCACCCTGAACCTTACCACATGCGCTTCCAACCTCTGCTGAGTGCACTCATCGAGGAAGGGAAGCTCTCTGGAGGTGTTCACACAGGGTTCCACACTTTTTGAGAGTCCTAGGCTTCCGGTCCCCACGTGGGTGTCAGACCTGGAAAAAGCCTGGTTGGCAGCAAGCCAGGATCGACGCACTCTCACAGGGATCAAACCCTGGTTGATATGACCCACCTTCGTGCCCAAATGGACTTTCAGGAGGCTTTGTAGATGCGCCTTCTCTATGCTTCTCAGTAAATCCTCTCCGGAGTCACTCCTTGAGGGCCTCACCAAGTCCCTTTCGGACTCTTCCGAGTCTGGTCCCAGAACCTTCACTGGGGAGCTTTCCACGCCCCTGGACAGATCCTTCGGCGCTCTCCCCAGGATGTACCCCAGGTGTGAGCCTGGGTCCTTCTCTAGCTGGAACTTCACCCTCTGTACATCCTTGCTGCTTTCACCCCGAGACAGAGAAGACCGCAAGGGTCTGTCTTTGACCTTTGCCTGACACGGCTGTGCAAATGTGTCCTGGAGCTGCATCTTTTCCAGAGACCCTTGGATCCTTCCCAGGTCGCAGCGGTGTTGAACGAGCCACTTTTGGATGTGCTGCTCTAGTTCCTTCCAGAGCTCAGAGATGATTGGAAAGTTTTCGGGAAGAATGGAGGTCAAGCTCTCCTGGGAACGGTCAGGTGTGACGCCGAACAGGCCCTGAGATCTCTGGGCCCCAGAGGGCCAAGCTCCCCCACTTTCTAGCTGCTTCCTCCACAAGGGCCACTCTGGGCGTCGGGTTTCCGTTGGGACCAGAGCTTGTGGCTTATTCTGAGACACACGATGAGATACATCGTAGTCCTTAAACCAGGGTGGAGAAGGACGTGGTAGGATTGAGAAAGAGGATTGGAGATGGATCTGGGTTTGGGCCTGAGCCACAGGCAAGGACTGAAATTGGGGCCTAAATGGAATCAAGGCCTTGGATTGGGGCTCCGGATGGGACAGCGGCTGGGCCTGGGAAAGCAGTGGGGATATCATAGCCTGCACTTGAACTAGGCAGGAATGTGAGATTCCATGGAATAAGAAGAAAGGAGGCTGTAATGGGGAAGAGCTCTCTGAGACCCAGGCTGTAGCCACCAGGGATTCGCCGTGCAGGGCGGGAAGACCCCAGAAAAGCTGGCCATATTTCTTCTGAAAATGGTCCCCAAAGATGTTGGGATCTGGGAATTTCGGAGGTCCAGGCAGCTGTTCTGATTTGTTTTCCAAGAGCCAGAAGGGTTGGGGGCTTGTGGTGTCCTGCTCAGCGCCCAGCAACTTTAGCACATGCCACAGAGCACTCAGGTGGTGCTCCGGGCTCATTTGCTCTGGAGAGGAGCCATCTTTTTCCTTTTCCTGCCAAATCTTGATCTTCACTGTCTGTGAGACTTGTATCTTAACGAGCTTCTGGTCGTCAGAGCTGAGCAAAAAGAGGCTGCCAGCCTCCATCTGCCTGTTTATGGGGTCTCTCCTGAACGAGGCCTCGGGTGGGTGGCGGGAGAGATGTTCTTGCCGGGACTTACAAACTGACAAGATGGAGAGGCACCGGGTTCTGGCAGCCACCTGCCACCAGGAGGGGGCAGAGAGGGGACTGCTTGAACGACCGAGGTCTGAGATGGCCAGAATGGGTGAAGCCGACACACACTTGTATGTGTCAAAGTGAGAGAGAGTCATGATGGGGTCCAGCAGGTATGGAGCTGTGAAGCTTTCTAGAGGGTGCAGACAGAGGGTGGAGTTGGGGGGCAGTGGTGGGGGAAGGGAAAGCACACGTGGCCTGGGTGAGGAGCATTCTAGGGGAGGCAAAGGCTCTGGGGGTGGGGCGGCCGTCGGGGATGAGTGTGAACCACCAGAGACTGGGGTGATCGGGGCTGGCAGAGGGCTGGAGGCCAGAGGCAGAGGACACTCAGTCCGAGCAGCCGGGGAGGCCGAGGCGGACAGAATGAGAGCAGCGTCTTCCACGTGCTCCCCGCGTGGCCGGGGGGCTTCAGCGGCTGCTTTTTCGCACACCTCACCTAGCGGGTATCTGTGTGAGAGTCGATGAAAGCTGTCCTTGTCAGGGGGCATCCCCAGGTGGCTGCAGGAGACACGAGGCACAAACTGCAGCTAGGAGCAGGGGGGCCCGAGGGCAGGGACAGGCACGGGCGGGCCCCTCCCGTGCCTGACACTTCCTTTCTAGTTCTCCGGCTGCCCCTCACCTTGGGAATGGACGCACACCCCCGTCTGCATCGTCTCCCCCTCCCAGGCCAGCTCTAGACTTCCCTGCGGCTCTGGGGTCACCTCCTAGCCTCTGATGGGAAGGACACAGGGGAGCAGGGGACAACGCCTCACCTCTGCTGAAGGGAGACCAGGTCCTCGACTCCCTCCAGTTCCCCCAGGCGGTTTCCACGGGCTGGAAATCAGGCGATGACAGGGTTATGGTGGGGACGGAGGGGGTGGAGAGTTCACGGAGGCTGAGGGGCGTCCCTTGAGGGGAGACCTGGGGGCTGGACTCTGCAGCTCAAGCATCCACGTCCAAGGCCACGTGGCACTGGCAGCAAGAGCAAGGTGCAGAGTGGACGGTGCTTTGTCATTTACGGTGAGTCCACCCCCATCCCTCCACAGTCCTCCCAACGGCTGGGCGGGCGGGAAGGGGAGAAAGGGCAGAGGTCGTCTCGAAGATGAAGCAGCCTCAGCGGAGTTGCCTGCAGGAACCCGGAGGACCCCCTCCAGGTCCAGGCCGTCCCTGGTCTTCTGTCCCCTGGCACCAACCCTCATGGGCGACATCCATCCCCGACCAGGCATGGCTTCATTCCAGCATAAAATCTGAGAGGGATCCCAGGTTCTGACTTCTTTTCCAGGACCCTCCCTGTCAGGCCTCTGCGACTGACTTCCTCAGAGACCGGAGACTCCCCGCCCCCGTCAGACGCTGGCTGGCCAGGCCGCTTTAACTCTCGGGGCCCTGGGCAGAACGGCCAAGCCTGACCTTTCAGAGCGCGGTTCTTCTTCCTGCTCCTGAGCCTTCCCCTGGTCCCCGCTGGATTCTGAGGGACAAGAAAGTGCCGGGGACTGGGAACGGTCCCACTTTCCTCTCCCTCCACAAGCCGCAGACATTAAGAGCTCAGAAGGGCATACTCTTCTATTCTATATCTTGCTAATGGAGCACTGTCCTTTTCTTTTATTCACTCTTAAAAGTGAATACAAAACATGTTCTGCTTTTCTTCTTGTAAAACACAAAGAGGGATTTTCTACGTGAGATTCACCATGATGGCTTCAGTTCCTGTTCCTCTGCTCAAGAATCACAGACTCTGACCGACAGGTACTTCTGAGCTATCGGGTGGGATTTTACTTCCTGAAGAGGCCAGAGGCGACCCCAGTGTCTCATCAGGGGCTCTCAAGGACTCAGCACAGCCCTCAGGTCAGCCTGATGCAGATATAAGGCTGAGCCTCGAGGCCCCTGGCCCAGGAAATTGACTGAAGAACCTGGGCTGGAAGGCCCGTCTCCCAGCTGAGATCTCATAAGCCAGTCCTCCGTCCCTGCATCCTGGTGCTGGATTTGCCCTGAAGCCTCCCGCAGCCCCTCACAGAGGGTCTGAGAGTCTCAACGGAAACCCCAGTGCCCACTCTCGCCCCTGCCCCACCCTGCCTGTCTCTAGAAGGATGATGTTCTATCTCTCCTGAGATGTCTGAAGTCAGAAACCTCTCCGCTGGATTTGGAAAAGGGACACCAGTAACAGGGAAAAGAGAGAATCATTCTCTGTGGCGTCAGGCCTGAGGGTTCCTTACCTTCCTGACGTTTCTCTCTCTTCTAGGTGGTGGTAAGGAAGGATCACTTCCAAGGCAGGGAAGTATCAGGAGGAAGAGCCCCAGCCCGCTGGGAAGGGTGAGGAGGAGATCCATCACCCAGGGGGCGGGGCTGAGGCTCAGCCATGTGGCACGAATGCTTCTCAGAGGAAAGTGAAAACTCTCCATCTTCTGAATACCAGTGCTGCCTTCAGGCAACTGAATCCTGGCCTAGCCTCCGGACTAGAACTCCTGAGGGACTAGAACTCCTGAGGCCTCCTG